CTGCTTGAGTAGATCTTTCATCTTGTCCTTTCTCCTCATCTGCCATAAGAAAAAGTGTGAGAGAGGGAGGGAGGGAGGGAGGGAGGGAGAGAGGGAGGGAGGGGAGGGAGGAGAGGGAGGGAGGAGAGGGAGGGAGGGAGGGTGTGTGCAGAAAAAGAAGAGGATTAAGAGGAGAATAGTGCTTGCTTCCAATCTCCTCCTCCTCCTCCTCCTCCTCACCTGATTGTCACTACAATCGTCCACCACAATCGACCTGAACCCGCAGTCCACAGCATCCAACGCCGTCGTCCCCACAACTCCGTTGAACAGGAAACCACCAACAACCACAGTCGTTATCTTCTGCTCCTTCAAGAACCTCCGCAGCCCAGTCTCCCTCCACACTTTCTGCTCGAAGAAGCAGCTGGAGCAGTAGCCAGCCCCGGATGAAGAGGGGTCAGACGTTCTGTGCAGGACGTAGTGCTCTGAAGTGTTCAAATCACAGAGACCCTTCAAGATCTCCGGCTTGCACTCCGATGCCTTTGTGATGGTGTAGGAGGAAGTGTAACCTCCTGCTCCTCTTGCTCCTCCTGCTGTTGCTGTTGCTGTTGCTGTTGCTGTTGCTGGTGCTCCTCCCTCCTCCTCCGCCTGGCGCATCCCGTCCGCTGCTTCCTTGTTCGCTTGATCCTTATCCTCCTGCTTTTCTTCGGGTTCCTGGGATCGTTGACGTCCTTGGTCCATAGCACGAGATCGAACTGCTGGGGGAACAGCAGGTTCGTCAGCTCGGGCGGATACTTCTGCGTTCCGATGTTCCATCGCTGGAGATTTTCGCCTTGCACGTCCACCAGGATCAGGGCCTTTCTTTCCCGCTCGGGAGGGACCCAGCACTTGAAGAACTCGATCATCTCCTGCTCCGAGCACTCGTGCTTCTTCAGGTCGTGCTTGATCACTTCGTACACCTCGTGCCTGCGTACCTCCACCCCAGGGTTCACTGATTCCATCACCTCGCACATGGCGTCGAGGAGCGCGAAGTCGTGCACGACCCCCTCCCCCAGCGGGTCTTTCTCCCGGAACATCTTGCGGATCTCCCGCTCGTCCGAGTAGTTTCGCACGTCCGCGCTTCCCCCCGCCATCTCCATCTTCCTGTTCTCCACCCTCACCCTGAAGTGCTTGCTCTCGTCTCCCGCATTCTCCAGCTGCTCCATCCTCTCCCCGCTCCTCAGCCTGTTCCTCTCTGCCCTCGACAGGTTCGACTCGATCCTCAGTACGTAGTAAGCATGAAACATCCACCACATGTCTGTCCCGGCGCCGCTCTCGTTCTTGCTGTGCGTGTTGCCCATAATGGCGATGAGCAGGTTGACAAGCAAGAGCGTCGAAAGCGCGATGAAGATGATGTGGAGCGTCCAGATGTCAACCCGGATCGACCCGATCGCGTCCAGCAGCCCCTGGTGGACGTCCCCGAACGTTACCCACACGTACGTGCTCATGTAGTCGAAGTTGGATGCCGGGTTGACGGTCAGCTCGGATCCAGCTGGGCCGAAGACGACGGAGCCGTCCTGCACGAGCCCTTCGGAGATGGCCACGTCTTGGATGAGGATGTAGACAGCCTGCGAGAAGGCAGCGAGGATGAAGAGGTAGACTATGATCCACTTGAAGACGTCCCCTATCAGCATGCGCCATACCGTCATCAGTAGCGGGCCCACGAAGCGGAAGGGGAGGAGGAGCTGGAGGAAGGTACACCACAGCAACATCATCGCCCACGCCATCATCTTCAGCTCGAGCCCCTTGAAGTAGTAGTCGGGTCTGACGTGGTACCAGCCCGCAAAGTCGCCGGTGACGCAGAGGCGGATAGTTGCGATGACGACGAGGAAGGCGACGACGACGACGTGGAGGAGGAAGATCAGGTTCTTGTAGAGCCAGAAGATCAGCTCGTCGAAGCTCCAGGACAGGTCCATGTTGGGGTCGATGTCGATGTAGCGGAACCTGAGCTGCTTGCGCGCCTGGAGGAGGAGGAAGGGAATCCCGATCAGGTAGATAAGGATATCCAGGGCGATGAAGAACCAGAGGGGAGCTTTGTTGATAGACCACTCCACCCCCGTGTTCACCGTCTGTGACCAGATCTGCCTGCACCTCCTCTCGAAGGCGACGGTGCATGCGATTAGGAAGACAGTGAAGGGGAGGAGAGTGTAGAGGAGATGGCTGGTGCGTCCAAACTTGATCCACTTCTCGAAGACGAGGTCTTGGAAGATGGGCTCCCTTGCAAAGGAACTGATCTCGTGCTCCACTACAACCTCCAGCGCGCTCCTCCAGTGCGGGTCGTTGTGCAGCGAGTCGGTCAGGGAGGTCGCGTCGACCACTTTGTGCGGGCGTATGCATTTTTCCAACCTCTTCCTCGTCCCTCCCAGCCAGCGGGCGACGGACACAACGCGGTCAAGCCAGTACTTCCTCAGCCAATCCTCCTTCATCTTCTTCTCGTGCTTCTTCTCGTCGAGGTACCGCTTTGACCGCACTCTCATCCTGTAGGTCTCCTTGGTGGCAGGAGCGCGGTGCTTGGTGGAGCTGGGAATCAGCAGGGAGCTCCGGAAGGTGTCCAGCTGATGCAGCGGCACGACGGTCATCTGGATAGTACCGAAAGACCAGGCCACCTCATGGATCTTCGAGACAAGGTGGTTGAAGATTTCTGGAGCGTCAGACCGGACCGCGAGGGTGAGAGGAGTGAAGTCGTCATCGTTGAGCAGCTCCATGGAGGGGTCGGCAGAGTTTCTGAGCAGCCAATCGATCGTGTCCTTCTGGCGATGCATCACTGCCATGTGGAGGGCCGTGTTGCCCCTGGCGTCGCTCATGTTGATGTACGAGTTCAGCAGAGCTTCTTCGTCCTTGAAGTTGGGGTCGTCTGCGGGAGAGAGAATATCAAGACCTGCTTGCCAGCTTTGCCTGCTGCTGCTGCTGCTGCTGCTGCTGCTGCTGCTGCTGCTGCTGCTGCTGCTGCTGCTGCTGCTGCTGCTGCTGCTGCTGCTGCTGCTGCTGCTGCTCCTCCTCCTCCTCCTCCTCCTCCTGCCCCTGCTGCTGCTGCTGCTGCTGCTGCTGATGCCGCTGCTGCTGCTGCTGCTGCCGCCGCTGCCTCCTGCTCTTCCCCCATGGACAATTCTTCCTCTGCCCTTCGTTTTCTTCCTACTTCTTAAACACAGCCTCCACCTTTTCTTTCTCTTCTCCAGTTTTCAGATAGATTCTCTTTCTCTTCCTGTTCCTGCCTCTCATCCTCTTCCTGCTGCTGCTGCTGCTGCTGCTGCTGCTGCTGCTGCTGCTCTTGCTGCTTCTTCTTCTGCTGCTCCTGCTCGTCTCCTCCTTCCATCCCTCCTCTTCCTCTCACCTGTGTTCGGGATCACCAGCTCGTCTTGGGTCCAGCGGTGGAGCAGCTCAATCAGCTCATCGTCGTCTTCCTTCTCGATGATCTCCCTCGCTCGATCCAGCAGCATCTGGCAAATCTCTACATCCCCAACGCTAGCTGCGAAACTCAGCGGCAGCTCACCGTAGTAGCACGCCCCTCCCTTCTCGTTCTTCTCCTTCTTGTTCCACGACACCCACTCCTCGTCCCTGAACCTTTCGATGATGCCGGGCTGGAAGAAAATCCCCATCGCCCTCGCATGCAGCTCCGCCCCATGGTCCAGCAGCCACTTCACCAGCTTCCTGTCATGCTGAACGATCGCGATGTGCAGCGGAGTCTCTCCGGTGAACATCCCTCCGTCCCTTCCTCCCTCCGCGTACGTCTTGAGCGCCTCGTCAATCGGATGATTATCCCCGTACCTGAACGCACCGTTCCCTGCAGATTTCCCCTTCTCCTGCTCCCCCTGCTGCCGCTCTCTCGCTCGCTTGTCCGAAAAAATCCGGTTGACCTGCTCCTGGAGCTGCCCCAGAAGAGGAGGCGGATGATCCCTGGGCTTTAAGACGATATTCAGGTCACTCCCGTACGGTGTGTTCACAAGCTCCTTGTAGTGCCTGAACTCTTCCGCCGCGTCCTTGGGCTTCCTCCTCTCTACCTCCTTCTTGATGATCTCCTGCCCAATATCTCCCTGCTCCAGGAGGAAGAAGAGGTGGAGGGGAGACTCACCCATGGGCCCCGTCCTCTGCTTTTTCTCCATCATCCACAGCGCGATTTCGATCAGGTGGTTCCTGCTTTTTTCGCTCCTGAGCCGCTGGTCGGTGGACACGTAGGCAAGCACCTTCTCGAAGAGCGGGTGCTGCCGCTGCGAGGTAAGGTTCTTGCTGTGTATCGTGTTGATCAGCTCTCTCTTGGTCTTGCACGCTTGGAGCTCTTTGAGCCAATCGACGTCGATGTAATCTGGCTTGTCCTGCAACAAGAAAGGCATCTGGCTGTCGAACCCTCCTCCTTCTCCTCCTCCTCCTCCTTGTCCTCGTCCTCCTCCTCCTGATTTGCCGCCATGTAGGTGGGTATTGTTGAAGCCAACGCCATTAGCTGCGTTCTTCTTTGCGACGTCTGAGCTGGTTGAGTTCCCCTCCATCAGGTACTCTTTTGATTCCCGCTGCACGCTGCTTCCTTTCACCCCTTGGCCCTAACCCTGCATCGGCTACTGCGGAATATGTTAGCTTCACTTCTACTAAACCTCTTCCTTGTCTGATCAGCATACGCTGTAAGTCACAACATGTCCAATGTAAACCTTCCTGGTCACCTTGCCTGCTGGCCCTGCCCTTCATCGTTCAACATTCGTCTTTTCATACTCGCAGGTCCATGCTTTGTCCCACTCAACACCTGTAGCTGCCCTCGGTAACTCCTTTTCCTTTCTATCCTTGCTAACCCACAATCCTCTTGTCGTCCCTTCCCTTCTATTGCCTTTCCTTGCCTCGTCTTCGTCCTCCTCCTCCTCCTCGTCCTCTTTCCTGTTCTCTACCCCGTCCTTTTCCTCGTCCTCGTCGTTTTCCTCGTCCTCGTCGTTTTCCTCGTCCTCGTCCTCGTCCTCGTCCTCGTCCTCGTCCTCGTCCTCGTCCTCGTCCTCGTCCTCCTGTCCCTCACTTCAGTTTCCATTTCCTTTTCCGTTGGCGGATCGACGTATACGATAAATTTTACTCAATTCGCATTCTCCAGGACTCCCCAGGTCACAACCCCTACTTTATCCCAAAAAACCACCCCTCCAGAATTGGAAACACTCAGTTCCCTCAGACCACCCCTCTGTTGTACTTGTCACAGTACCCACCGGTTACATACTTTTCTTTCACTACCCCATCATTCTCAAAAAAGTTCTGTGGAATACAAATAATTGTGGGGGTAGGGGTACCTACCAACCCAGTCATCTTCCCTTTTTGGGGGGGTAGGGGTACCTACCAACCCAGTCAACTTCGGTGAAACATCACGTGTGCAGCAAAGGACTGTAAAGGAAAAAAAACATAAAAAACATTCTCCCGGGTCCGCCTCACTGATGTTGTCAGTTGCTTATCGGTTTGAACATTTGGAAATCATACATCATAATTTCAAACTCAAAGACAAATGTTTATTTGGAAGATTGAAATCTTGTTTCGAATTTTCAATCCTTGAATTTGTTGTTGAATGTAATACTGTAATATTCAACATTTGACGTGAAAGTTACGGAATATCTTGAAAACTTGCAACCACCGGATCAAATATGCATCAACTGTAGGGGTTCCCGGGGGTGGTCCATGGGATAGAAAGGCCCCGAGAATGGGCGGGAAAAAAGTTTGTGGAATGCTGGGGCGAGGAGGAGAGAGGAATGAGAGGAGGAGGAGGAGGAGAGGAGGAGGAGGAGGAGGAGGAGGAAGACAGGGATGATAAAGATGATGACATGTGGGTGGCGATGGCAATGAGAGAGGAAGGGACAGGGGTAGGGATTGGTGCAGATATGATTCTCCCAGAGATGAGGGGAACCATGGAAAAGGACGAGAGAGCACTGTCGTCACATCAATCTTGTGAATGTCGTCACATCAATCTTGTGAGTTCGATGAAGTGGCAATGAAAGGAGAAATGGAGCCAAGGCAGCTCAGTTTGAGAGTTTTCTTTCGTGACTGGTGCAGTCTTCAGAGGACATGAAAAGCATGTAGTTTGGATTGGTGACTCTATTTTGCTGTCCCGAACGTTCACAGTTAGGGGTTTCAGTCTGTGGACGAGAGATAATGCTCGAAATATGATGAAATCTGACTTGATAGCGTGTTGGCTACACTTGCTCAGTCTCATACATGTTTGATTACAGATGATTCGAGCTGGCAAGGGCTCGCAGAGCTTCATGGCTGATGCATGAGCACAATAATAGGAAATTCAGTGACAACAGGTTGTGCACGTTTAAGCAAGCTGAAGGTCAAGCCATCGCATGAGGCAGCTAAAGTAGTCATTGCTGAAACCGTTCAAGACAAGCCTTCACTTGTCAATCAGCCTTGCGGAAGGCGATGACTGGGCATGCGGCAAACGCTGTGAGATACGTCTTGTGCACGTGACTTCCTCGTGACCTCTCGCCTTGACAGACCAATGGGGGCGCGACCTCCCTCCTCACGTTTCTGGGAAAGTCTCCGACGACTGCCCCGAGCAAGAAGAACGGGAAGCAAGAGATTCCCGCTTCCCACGCATTCATGAACACGCCGAGCCTCAAGAAAGCAGACGAAAAGAGCAAGAAGAGGAAGGCAGAGACTTCGGGAGGGAAAGGGAAGAAGACCAGCAAAGTAGTGAAAGCGAGTGAGAGGACTCCGTTTGATATGACTCCAGTAAGAGCTAACGCTGCAAGAGACGAGAAAACTCCAGACACAGAGGAGAAATATCCACGGAATGTTGACAAGAGCTGCAAAGAACCTGGTTCCGATCTCGACCATACTTCTACGAAGCTTCTAGAGGATGATGCACAAACCAAGAAGTTGAATCCGTGTGATGATCAGCAAGAGCGTACTCTGATCATACTGGACTCCCCAGAACGTCAAAGTCTCCCCCGGAGTGCGGAGGGATCGTCGGAAGGAGAGGGAGAGAAGGGAGACGAGCCAGACTCTGACCCTTCTTGTCGAAGATCTCAGCGGATCAAGGCGATCGCCTCTACTGGACCATCGCAGAAGAAGGAAGCTGCAAAGAGATTCTTCATGAGCAAAGAGGAGAAGGCTCGACTTGCCGAAGAAGAAAAGAGAATCAGGGAAGATGAGGAGAGGGAGAGAGAGGAGGAGCGGAAGAGGATGCGGGTGGAACGAGCGATTCTAGCCAGAGAGAAGCTGCGAGAAGAGATGGAACGAACTCGTCAGGAGACGCAGAAACTGAATCAAGGCAAACAGATCAACCCATTTCTGCTCCCGCGATCTCTTCGACCATCCAATGCAAAGACAGAATCAGAGTCTGAGGGAGATCAAGTTGGTCTATTCAGGCCTTCATCGTTCAATGGATTGGCAGCCATTCAAGATTCCAACCCAGAAAAATTTCCATTTCCGATTGTTTCTCACATTTTGCCCTTTCATGCCCCCACAATCGAAAGAAAAGTCCCTTCCTCAGACCTGTGGGAGCTACGAGAGCGTTTGATGGAGACGGAGTCGGACGCCCCTACCGTATCCCTGGATCAAGGAACACTTATGAGGCAGGATGTTTACCATCCCCTTTTCCCGTGTACCGAATCGGATCCGTCGAGGCAAGAGGACATGGTTCAGACGCTATCGGCGCTGACCAACACAGCCGTGTTGGAGGTCACCGAGCGGATTTCATCGTTGGAGTCGAAACGTGACTCATTCCAGGCAAACAACTCTGTCTGCAAGCTTTGGACTGAAGCAGTTAGACCACAGCGGTCTGGGGAGGTGGTGGGAAACTCGGCGGCCGTTCAGGACCTTCTGTCGTGGCTGCAGAGAAGCAGAGATGGAGAGAACAAGTTGTCACAGAGCAAGCAGAAGGGCAAAACGTCAAAGTCCTCTTGGTGCTCAGAGTCCGACTCGGATGACGCCACACCGGATAGCAATGCATTCTCAAATGCCCTTGTCCTCGTTGGACCGTCGGGCAGTGGAAAGACGGCTTCCCTCTACGCCTGCTGCGAGGAGCTTCGGTTGAGAGTGATTGAGATCAATCCTTCGGACCAAAGGACTGGGAAGAACATCTTGCAGATGGTGGGAGAAGCTACTAGATCTTACCTTGTCCGCCGTGGTGCTTCGGCCATTGATGCCAAGTCTTCGCAAGAGTCGGCGGTGCAGCGATCGAGCCCTGAAGTGATTGATCTGTCGGCTGGTCCAGCCACTCCTCCGAAAGAGACAATGCTAGCTGGGAAGGAGCTTGTTGGGGAGACTGTCAAGTGGAGGAGGGACGGCGAGAGCGTCAGGGGAAAGATTGTGAAATACAACGGTCGAAAGCGCAAGTACGAAGTGTACTTGGACGATGGGGATGTTGTATATTTGTGTATAGATGAATTCAAGTTGTGCGGCGAAGGAGACATGGAGGATTCAGAAGCAGACTCGAGCCAGGAAGAAGGGACCACAGAGGCTTCCCTAGTCTTGTTCGAGGAGGTGGACGTTTTGATGGAGGAGGACAAGGGATTCATGGCCGCCCTGACCTCCCTGATCGAGCAGACTCAGGTTCCAGTCGTCCTGACTTGCAGCTTTGTGCCGCCCGCAATCAAGAACTTGGGGCTGAAGGAAACGAGGTTCGAGAAGCCGTCGGAGCAGGAGATCATGTTGGCTTGTGGGCCGCTGTGCCTGACGTACAGGAAGGGTCCTGGTCAAGTGCACGTCATGAAGCGGCTGCAGCAGGTTGTTCGAAGTTGTCGTGGAGACCTCCGGGCATCATTGATGGCCGCCAACCTTGAATTTGCCTATGAGCACGACCCTTCAAACCGATCCTGTCTTACTCCTGTCTCTCTCCTGCACGAGATCGACGTGGGGATCCATCAGCATCGATACGAGTTTCCAGTTTCCGAAGAAGTCTTCCACGAATACCTTGAGGAGGTGGATGCTGCAGTTGAGTATCTCGTTGCGCTGATTGTTTTTCCCAGCTCCTGGGTCAAGAGACGGCCGCACGAGGTCAGCTGTGAACGTAAGATAGTCACTGAGAACTGACGAGGCCTGTAGTGCCGGCAGTGCCAGAGAAGAAGAGCAGGGGACATGATTGCCAGCTGCTTGATTCCCTGGTGGATCTGACTGACACCATATCGATGAACGACGTGCTTTCTGAGGTAAGAGTGATCTACCTTTGACGATGAGCCCTGACTTGGTTACAAGGCGGCAACAGGGCTGCATCAGTCAGCAGAATCCGTCATCTTCCAGGCAAGATACCCAGCATTGTATTCCCCTTCCTAATACCCTCGCACAGGATTTTGACTGCGCAAAGCTCAACGTCACAAGCTCTCTGGCTCTACATGGTTTGTTTCGAGAAGCTCAGCAGACGAGAGAGCGAGCTATCCCATCTCTCTCCCCAGCTATGGAGGACTACTATCGTTCGCTCAAGGCTTGCAGCTACTTCTCTATGATGGACGACAATGGCAAGGACGTTAAGACGCGTCAGCAATTCAAGGTACCTGAACCTGAACCTGAACCTCAAGTTGCTCCTTGACTTGCCCGTTCTCTGCCAGTCCGCCATCAACATCATTCATCCTACGAATGTCTCCCTTGTGGTAAAGGCTCTCTTTCAAGCCTTTGTGGGTTCGTGGCTCAACATGACATGTTGACTGGGCAGCGGAAGGCAGCAGTTGCTTGCGACTATCTGCCGTTCCTCCGATCGATCTGCATGTCCGAGGTACACGATCTCTTCCGGGCCCGTCCCTCATCTCGGCTCGCACTTGCTTCCCTTCCCCTCCTCTCCCTCTCCCTCTCCCTCCCCCTCTCCCTCCCCCTCTCCCTCCTCTCCCTTTCCCATCTCTCCTCCTCTCCCTTGCCCTTTCCTCTCCTTCCTCGTCACTTATCTCCGCCCCCTACACCCTCACTTGTCCTTGTCGGGTATCTCACGAAGAGGCAGGCGGATCGGAGAGCTGCGCTAGGTGGGGAGGAGGAGGTGCGAGGGCGAGCTGGGACTAGAGCGCAAAGAGCCGCTTCGTAAGCCCTTCGCAGCTGCTCTCCACCTACTGACGAAGTCTCAGGCGCAGGTTCCAGCACCACTTCCCGCAAAGTCTGTTGGGCGATACTTCGGTGAGCGCAGCTGGGGTCGAGCTGGATGGGTCTGACGAGGGAGCAGGCTCTGGAGGTGGTGGGGTACGGGGAGTCTTCAAGTATTTATGGCATGTGAAGGAGTTGAGGGGAGGGGGAGGGAGCGAGGGGAGGAATAAATTGAACGAGCTAATTAATCACAAGAGCTCCCTCAGACGTTCCTGGAGAGCTCAGCTGCAGCCTTGATGATCTGGTGATAGTGTGAGACTAGGGAAACCCACGACCTTGGACGGGGAGGTCGGAGGGCTGTGAATTAGGAGAGGGGGAGCGCTAAAAGAGGGTCCTTCAAGAGGAAGGAGCAGGGGCAGGTGCAGGATAACGAGGAGCAGGAGCAGGAGCAGGAGCAGGAGCAGGAGGGGCAGGAGCAGGAGCAGGAGCAGTGGGGAGGGAGAGAAGGTTGAGTTCGGAGGGAGGAGAGACAAGTGGGAACATGAGGATGGGAAGCAGTCGAGGAGCAAGACAGACCTCGAGGTTCTGCTTGGCAACGGCCTCAGCGAGGACCCGAGCCTGAAGCTGCTGGTCCTGACAAGGAGAATGAGCAAGAGAGGAGGGAAGGAGGGAGCAAGCCGATCCAGGAGGAAGATGAGCAGGAGAAGCTGGGGGGAGAGGAGAGGGACAAGCACGAAGTTGAGAGTCGGACAGGAGAAAGGACGAGGAGATTGGGAGGAGGGGGAGGTGGGGGAGGAAGGAGGAGGGAGGAGGAAAGGGGAGGGGGGTGGAGAGGAGAGGAGAGGAGAGGAGAGGAGAGTATTACTATGGTATGGCTCAACGCTTCAGCTGCGTCCACCTGTATCAAAACAAATGAGATAAGACGCGAGAGGGAGGAA